TCTGCTTAACACGCAGAAGGTCGCAGGTTCGACACCTGCACAGAACACTCTTCTTTTTTTCGTTTTTTTCAAATTTGTTTTTGTTAATTTATTACATTTTAGATCAATTGAACTTATTGTTAAAGAAAATCCTAAAGATTTTATTCGATCAAAACGAATAACAGATAATGAAGCAATCAGTTCTATACGTCATATTGGAACACAAACTGATTATCGAGAAGAATCGACACAAACCAATCCTTTTTCACCACCATATACTATTTCTGGTAATCAACATCCAGAAGTATTTGCTTTATCTGATTTTACTTATGGTAATAAGTTTGTTGAACTTTCATAATTTAAAGATATTTATTTATAGGTAAAGGTTTACCAGCAACATCACTTGAAATTTCATTTATTGAACGATTACGAGCTCGTCGTGAATGGGAACAAGATCATACAATCGATATGACACGAACTAAAATTGTTATTGAACGTGAAATACGTGAATGGCAAATTCGTAATGAAGAAATTAAAATGTATGCATTTTAATTTAACTTTATATCTATTCTTTATGCCAATAAATAAGGTTACAAGATACACGTGAAAAATTATTTACAAAAAATCTTCATACATATATAAAAATTGATGAAGAAGTGACACAAAATATCATTGATCTATTTATTTATCGACAAGAAAAACAATTGAATTTACAACATAAAAGACTTGAAATTGAGACATCTCGAGGTAATCTTCTTCGTAAATAGTATCATATTATTGATAATCTGTTTATAGATATTCGTCGTATTAAACGTATGTATCAATTACGAGAAACTCAGATAAATGCAGTAACAAGTTATAATCATCTGGGAGTTATTGGTATGGCTCAACAGGGAAATGGTTGTTTTTCTTTATTGAAACCACCATGGCATACACGACCTGATGATATTATAACTACATTTAAAAATAGAATGTCTAATATGTATACACATTGTTCTCAGTTTGATTATTTGATTGATCGACGTTTTAATCAATCTCAAATAAATATATTTAAATTTGAAGAGTTAATACCAAAAAATGCTTTAGTTCCACAAATTGATCAGTTTAATCGATCAATATTATATAAGAAGACTTACAATAAAAAAACACATCGTCGTCTTCAAGATTTGGAGAGAGCTTTTCAAGTATAAAAATACTTATCCTTGAAATTGTGATTGAAATAAAAAACTTTTTTTTTTCAGTTGATTCAAGAGGAAAAAACTAAACAAACATTGGTATTAGAAAATAAACCACTTAGATTTGTAGAAAAGGTTGAAATAATAGAACATGTCAAACAACCACAAACGATCTCGTCTCCAACAGAAGTCTTTTATTGACATGTTACTAATTTATATTTTATATTGGTTGTTAGGTACATGATCGTTGTCGCATAGCAATTATCAAATTTCAAAATTATCTACGTAGTATTATTGTTCAATCAAAAGTAAATATTTCTTTATATTTGTAAAGCGTTATCTTCTTACATTTCTTTTTAAAGATTTCAAATGTTCGTCAAATTCGTCAAGATTTATTAGAAGAACTAAGAAATGGTTTAGAACATCATCAAACAACATCAACAGATATGTCCGATCATATCCATAGGAATGAAATTGTATCACCACGAACACAAATATATGATTATCTTGAAGGTGAAACAATATCTGATATGTTAGATTTTTTATCGAAAGAACTTCTTCGTCTTCAATCGGAACAAACAATTCATCTTTTTATATTACTTGCTGATCGTTATCGATATCAACGAGAAGCAGCAGAAACAGGTTTTCGTACAAGATCTATAGAAAGACAAAAGCTAGAAGATCGTGCATTTCAAGAAGTATATATACATATAGATGTAATTTGAATAAGAAAATATCATGAGTAAAATTCTAGATGTTTTCATTGAATGTAAATTGTGATATTGAAATATATTTACAAGATCTTATTCTTGAATCAATTTCAAATACTGCTGATAAACAAGCAAGATTAGAAATTCAACAAATAACTGAAACATTAACTAATCTAACAGATGAAATAAATAATTCTTTGTATGATCTTATCTTTTAATAGTATCTTGTTTTAATCATTTTTATAGGTCAAATCCAATCGATATTGAAATAATTGTATCTGAACTTGTACATCATTTTTTATTTCCAACAGTGCAAACAATTCTTACTCGACAAACATCTAGAAACTTCTCTCAGTATCAAAATAGGTCATTTATCAAGAATTAATTATTCCTAACTTTATATATCTGACACAATGAACAAATTGATAATAAACATGCAATAAGATAATCAAAATAAATTTAGCAAATAGGATGACAAATGGTTGATAGATCATGCAATAAAGTTTATTTTCTTTTAGATAATCTAAGATAATATAATTCTCTTTATTAATATCAGAAATTGTTTTTTTTCTTTTGTGTTCTATATATTTGTTCGTTGAATAAATGAAGAAAATAAGAGATGAAATACCGGGACTTAAACGCAAAAAAGAAATATAAGCCAATAAAATAAATTAGTTAGCATGTTCAAAATATTCTTTTGACTTTGAAACATCAGGATTAATTGTTTTCTTTCCTGGTTTCCAATTAGCTGGACATACTAAATAAAAATAATAATAAATGAATAAACAAGAAAAATTCAATTAAATATTCGATTATACCTTCGCCATGTTTATCGGTAAATTGAAATGCTTGAACTAATCGAAGTGTTTCATCAACTGAACGACCAACTGGTAAATCATTTATTGTTATTTGACGAAGGATTCCATTAGAATCAATAATAAATAAACCACGAAAAGCTATACCTTCATCGTCTTTTAATACACCATATTTTGCTATATAAAAAGAAATATGCCTAATTATTTACATAAAGTATAGATAAATGACTTACTAGAAATATCCAAGTTTTTATCAGCTAATAATGGAATATTCATTTTTCCAAGACCACCTTGTTTACGGCTTGTATTAACCCTAAAATAATAGATTATTTCATATCAATACAAAACATTAAATTAATTTCATACCATGCGAGATGACTAAAATGAGAATCAGTTGAGCAAGCTAATATTTCGCAGTTTATTTGACGGAATTCTTCAATACGATCGCTGAATGAGATTATTTCTAAATATAAATATTTGCATTTATTTTATCTTATTAATTGATTGTAATTATATAATATACCTGTTGGACAAACGAATGTAAAATCCAATGGATAGAAAAAGAGTACAACATATTTGCCTTTATAATCTTTAAGTGAAATATCTTTAAAGTTTCCATCGACAACTGCAGTACTCTTAAATTCAGGAGCTGGTTTACCAATCTTTGCCGACATGTTCCTTTTTTAAATGCAGATCTAAAATGACAAAAAGAGTATTTTTTCTGTTGTAAAACTTATTTTATGATTGGATAAACTTGTGTATGTATAGTTATTATGAGAGAAACAATCTGTTATTTTATAAATCTCGTGAGGCTTATTCTCCAGGGCGTGATTTTTTCTTTCATAAACTGGTTACCATTTCTGATTAGCTCCCAAGAAAAGAACAGTTTACTAGACAGAAAAATATACAATAAGAATCGGGCTCACAAAATGAAATATGGTGCCACTTAATCAAATGCAAATCATAAATATGCCATTCTATTTCATTTTTCATTCATATCGTGTAGGCTAAAGAAAGAGAGAAAGAGAAGATAAATGATATTACTTTGTAATAGTAATAGTAACTTAATACAAGAGAACAGAAAAACAAAAAAATGCGATAAGGACGACGACCACCATGAAAAGTGCACTTACCTCTTATCAACACCTAACAATGCACTGAAAGTTTTAGTTCTTCTTTTTTTTACACGTAAAATATTATATAACAAATCTTTATGGATAATCTTTTGAGTATAATCTGATAACTACATATGTAGATGTCGCCTTCATTTATCTCTGTATAAATGTTATTCTATTGGTTAAACTTGAATAAACCAATTGTTTTTCTTTGATATCGATAGAAACATCATTTCATTTCGCTTCAGCTAAATTTATTTGTTTTATTGATAGAAATATATATTTATTTAATGTCGGCAACAAAAGATGTTGAAGTTCATGTTGAGTTTTCTGATCAACAAAATATAAATACATTTTCACGGAATAATGCCAAATTAACTGAATTAAAAGAAGAAATCGAAGCAAAACGAAAAGAATTAACATCATTATCAGATGCAAGAGAAGCTCTAGATGAATTATCAATTCTATCTGATATTCCAGCAGCACCATTACTTGTTGGTGAAACATTTCTTATTGAACCAACTGACGATATTTTAACATCATTAGATACACGTAAAGCTAAAATTGAAAAAGAAATTGAAGATATACAAACACGAATACAAACTATTCAAAATGTTTTAAGTGATTTAAAAGTTAAATTATATGGTAAATTTGGTAAAAGTATTAATTTAGAGAATGATGAAGAATAAATAAATGACACAAAAACAAAACTCAATCAAGAAAACACATAACAAGTAGTAACTTTCTTTTTTTCACATGTTATACGTTTGTTAACAAATAAATACTGTTTTTTTACCGAACAAAAATAAAGATTTTCTTTCAAAACAAGATGTGTTACACTCATTTAATCGTAAACAAACGTTTTCATATACAATAGAATGGATCTCTTACTTTCTCTTTGATTAAAAATCGCAGTGTCTAAATAAAATATTATCTGTTTTATTTTATTTTATTTCGACTGTCATAGATTCACTCTAACTATGTATTAAAATTGATTAACATGTCATTTGAATGAAAGAAATGTTTCAGTTAAGTATCACATATGTAAAACTTTTTATTTTTTAACAAAGGCTTTTTATTCATGGTTTTAATGCATTGAATTTGAAATTGCCCATCAAAATATATAGATTAATGGCTACATAATTACCCATAACTTGAGCAGCAATCATAACCATGAGTTTATATTGACTTATATTAATCTGATCAACTTAAAAAAATATATATTTACTTCAGAATGAAATTTTGAATTTAATAAATCTATATCATTTAATATTTTCACTAAAATTATATAAATCATAATAATTAAAAAAAAACATGAATTATTGAATTACTTAAAGTAACAGCTAATTGCCTTTTGTGAAAGAAAGGAGTTATACAGAGTTTAAATCCTCGGGTTCAAATACATAAAGTTTGTTCCTTTAAGCCTGTCAGAATTGAGTAGCCACTGAATCAATAAAATTTGATCAAAGGTATTAGGGTCGGAGAATTGGGATCTGAAGTTAGTTTTTTTATTTCTGTTTACAATAATAAATCCGAATCAAAAGTATCAGACATCCCTAGTTTATTTGTATACAATTTTGTAATATTAAATATGGTTTTACTTAAATCAAAATAAATGTTAAAACATTAATACATTGCCTTTCGTGTCAGCGTTATTCAATCAAATATAGTAAGAAATCATTAAACTTTTTTTTGTAAGTAAAGTAAAAACATGTTTTCTTCGTCTCTGTTTTTATTTTATAAAAAAAAAACAATACAAAAAAAAGATCTCCCGAGGAAAATCTTCAGTTGGTGTCATGTTGATTCGTCGATAAGGTTCCCTTCTGGCGGTGGCATCTGAAACCACTTTTGTGGCCAATGAGGTTAACTGCCTCGCCGCCACCCTTGATTGACATGCTGCTGATGAAGTACTAGTAGGACCAGGATCGTTCTCCCTCTCCACTCGCACTTCTGCTGTTCTCCTATCTTCTGGACTAACACTATAAAAGTCATTACCACACGGTATCCAAATCCCTAGATGTTTCCGCTTACACTAGTAGAGTTTGAAAGTACCTCGGTTCATTGTGGCCACCATCGAAGTAGCATCCTACCGCAGACCGTAGCGATTTTCACGCTCTACCACTTGAGGGAAAGAAGGATCTCTAACTAACTTCGACACATCAGCAGGGGTGTTCATAGAAAATGGTACTAACGCCTCGATTCCTCTTAATGCTTTACCATCAGCAGCGATGTTGGTTTCTTCGACGTGAACGATATCGTCCATTTTGTTTTGTTTTGAAGGTAAATTTTGAGTGTGAATTTGTATAAAATGCGAAGCAAACGGGTGTCGAAAAGCAAAAAGTGCGCATGATATCTGTGTCGTCCTTATACATTACGTGTATATATACGGACAAGATCGATGTCATGCATTAATGATCCATGTATTAAATGTTTTCATTTTCTCCTTTTACACATCTACCACAGGAATCGTATTACGCACGTCGCTTCTTCAGTACTTCTAAAACAAAATAATTATTTTCGATAGAAAAAAAACTTGGTAAAAGGTTCTTCAGCTAGGTACAGATTTAGTTAAGCACCTGTCTTTTAAAGCGTTGTTTAAATAAAAGACTAATATTTACCTATCAATTTGTGTACAACTTTTTCAAATAGTTTTCTCCATATTTCTGGATCCAGTCATTGCAAAGAAGCGCAGCTATTTTGTTGACACCCGTACCTTCGTTAACAGCGTTTTTACTCAGTATTGATCGACGTTTATCATCTGCTAACAAATCTAAACGACGTACATCGTTTATCATTTTCTCATCACAGTCTGTATCGAACTGTAGAAAAAGTCCGATATCCCAATTATGACTGCACGAAAATATATGTATCGAAATGTTGTTGAAATAAAAATGCGATAGCCATCTGTACTGTCCGTTTATCTGATGGAACGTGGTTAAGTTCAATATCTGTTAAATTTGGTTTGAACCATAATTGAAATTTTTCTTCTGTGTTAATTACATTGATTTTTCGATTCGATTTGATTTAAATATACTATAATCTAAGAAAAGTTGAAGTTTTGGTCTGATGTAAATTTATTACTGAATATGATTAGAAGGTGATAAAATGATGGAAAATAGCGATACTGTTTGACTATATAAATACGAGTGGGAATTCGGTAAATATGCTGTCTACTAAAATAATGTGTAATTTAAATTTATGTGCGAATAGGATTTGTATTAATTGTGGTGCTTTGGATGCAGTAATATATTTTGTTTCGATAACAAATTGCTTCTTTTAAAACTGTAATAGACTTTTTGCGGTGATATTGGTTCAGATTTGCCTGAAGCTGTTAAATTTTGAAAAGTGTTCTGCGTTGTATTGATGTTAGTAATTTATTAAAAGATAGTAACTCTCGGTTTTGCTAAAATATATCTGAAATAGAAAGCAGAAACAATATATCAGAAATATTTGAGACACCTTCGAGAAAATTGATTACTTTGATCAATGAATTAATATATGTGTCGATAGAAGACTATGGGAACAATAATAAACACATCAATTTAATATCTTTTATCTACCTGATATCATGCATAGTACATAACTGTCTAATTATGATCATTAAATACGCTGACTAATAATTATTTGAACTATTCAGTCACTCAAAAAATTGAATCTTACTCCAAATGTGAAATAAACATTTAAGTCACCAGTCTTCTATTATGAATAGTATTGTGATGATGATATTCAAGACCTCCAATGGCGTGAGATCCTTCGACTAATTCGGTTTTTTAGATTCTATATGCCTTTTTATACTCTAACTATGATGATTTGCAATACAAACGAAACAAGAAGAAACCTATAATACAAGTAATATATGTCTGGTACAGCAATCAAAATCATATTTTTTTAATTTATTACTATCAATTTTTTTCCATATTGATTTCAGATTTCAGATTGTTATGATATACAATATGATTTTAGATTTTAATTCCTATGACACTGATTGAATGAATTTTATTTTGACAATAAGCCTGATCATGTGATTTAAACTCATGTTTTTAAAACATTTCCAAGAAATGTCAATAACTTGAAAGTTATAAAATAGTTTACTCCGTCATATAGTGTGTTTCATTATTAGATGTATCGGGTGAAAATATACGTGCTCTTATATTTTATTAACAGAGAAATGCAAAGGACCTCTGTACTTTTCAGGAGTCTTCGACAAAAAACATCAATAGCTGTTTCTTCAGAAAATATTGACAACATACTTACACGATAATATATAAGACAGTGAAAAATTGAAAGCTATCATTAAAATCAAGCAATCTAGTTTTAAACGTAATATACACTCTTAAATAATTGACTTTTTATTATTTAACATCCTCCGAAAATCTTTACAATATCGACTGAAACATCAATAAAATTCTAAGTGAGCGGCGAGTTGAAGTTTATGATTCGACATTTCAATCATATTAACAAATTTTATTACATGGAAGTTATTCAAATTTGTGATTCAAGCGTTCTTTTGCTTAACGAAAACGTCGGAAAGTATACTGAGCTTTTTTCAATTTGTGAATATTTGAGAGTATGGATAAAGAAAAGATGAATTCACACCTTCACTCTACGAACAGACTTTCTTTGTACAAAATTGATGCACTCATAATCTAGTTATATTTTTATAAGAATGAAATGAAATCTATTGTATGGTCGAATCAGATTCGAAATATTTTTCCTTGAGTTCTCTAGCAATCGTATGCATTGTATACAACTCATGCGATTCTTTTCACTTTATCATAATGCCAACCTATAATTCAACATTCACTAGAAAAAACTCTGCATAATCTCAGTTTTTCAGTTACCAATAATACTCATCAGTTCCAAATCAAACACTTGTGTCTCACACAAAATATAAAAACGATATTTTTAATGAACAAATAAGAACCTCTCTATCTCTCAACCATTGATGCATTCAAAGATATTCCACTTTCAACACATAGTCGCACTTCACATCTACAGGTTTTATTCCAACAAAACACATATTAAACAGTATTTTTCTTGTCAATATTCTCCTTTTCACATACACTTTCTGACGACTATTGATAACATGGCTTTTTTTTTGAAACAAAGAGATTCAATTACATATAATTTCATAATATACTATAATCTATCGTCAACCATCATGAATATCATCATGAAACATGCGTCACCTAAAGAATCACACATGCCAATAAAAAATCTATTCCAATAATATGCTTATAATACAAAACACATATAAAATAAAACAGTTCTATTTAAATTTAGTTACGATGATACCCAACAAAGAAACTCATGCCCAAATTCATTAATAGTTTTCTATCAGTGATCAATATATCGTCGATATCAACGTACACAAGTTTGCCACTCCGTTGTTCCGCTGAATGAACTCATCGAGTTCAACCTGGAGTTTCCCTCCGATTTCATTGCTGCGGAGATCTAACTTGGTAAGTGTCTGCAAGAAAAGTGCATATATGAGATCGATGAGCCAGGTACTGATATAGTTACGGTATTATTTCGTAATGCATCTGCTAGATGTTGTGCTCCAACATTTCCGATTTGATTCCGCAAGAGATTTAATGTGGTAAGTGTCTACGCGAAACAATGCAGATGAGATAGATGCGGAAGAGATGATATTTACTTTATTGTTTTGTAATATATCTGCTAAATGTTGTGCTCCAACATCTCCGATTTGATTGTTGTCGAGAATTAACGTAATAAGTGTCTACACGAAAAAGTGTAGATGGATATATAAAATACATGTGGAATAGAACGACACTTACCGTAGTATTTCGTAATATATCTGCTAGATACTGGGTTCCAACAGCTCCGAGTTTATTGATCGAGAGATTTAATGTGGTAAGCGTCTGTATGAAAAAGTGGAGATGGATATATGAGATCGATGAGGCAGGTAGTGATATTTACCTTATTATTTCGTAATGCATTTCCTAGATGCTGTGCTCCAACAGCACCGACTTCATTGCGACCGAGATTTAATGTGGAAAGTGTCTGCATGAAAAAGTGCGGATAAATAGATGAGATAGATGTGGAATAGAACGATATTTACCTTATTATTTTGCAATGCATCTGC